TTTGACAAGGTTCAGTCTCAGCTATAATCAGGAAAATCTTAGTAAGTCAAATCACATTGAGTTGTTAATTTATACTCTCTAGAAAGCCCAAGTACATGATACAGCAGCCCCACACTTACAGAGAAAAATTTTTTTTCACATACTTCTGGAAAGAATGTAAGTTTATGACTTGTGATCAAAGAAAACAGTGAAAGTTTACTTTTAAAAACATGTTACAGAAAAGACACATTACCATTAATTAAGAAACACTTATCCCAGCATTCTTGCCATTTTCCGAAGCAGTTCTGGAAGTCTTCTTTCATTAGTGTCTTTAATTGCATTGTCCTGGCTTTTTCACAATCTTGAATGGATGCAAACTGTTTCTCTTTCATGGTCATTTTGATGTGAGGAAAGAGCAAGAATTCACCAGTGTCATATCCAGTAAATGGAGAGACAAGAACTCAGCATCCTGCCGAGGATTTAGTGTAGTGGCATAAGCTCCTGCCTGGCAACATGAGGTCATGAGTTCAATTCCTAGGACAAGGGAAAAAAGGAGCGCAGCGTTCTACTTTGCACGTCTGTTGTGACCATGTGGACTGGATGGCACTTGGCTACACTCCATATATATGATCATTTAGGGACACCAAAGAATTATTATCATAGACTCCAGGTGTTGATTACGTCCATGCATTGGCCAGGAGTGGTTAAAAAATGATCCCTGGGGTACTGTAACATTCTCTTCTGCTTTAACCTTACAGAAGTGTTTGCATTTTGATAAACATTTAAGTTGTACATTTTTGCTTCATACATTTGTCTGCAGATATGTAGTATTTTATAATTAAACAACAAAAATAGAAAAGTTGATCAACAAGACCTACAAATAAATGATGCAAATCACAAACTATCAATCAAAGATTTATATTAATTTCCTTGGAACTGAATGGTGTGATAGCAATTACAAACTAATGTGACGGGTGTTTCATTTCAAAATTGTTTGCTGAAGAACCTTGTCTTAGTGACTTTCTCGTTTCTGTAATGCAGTCCTCACACCCACAAACTGAAAGGAGGAGAGGTTTATTTGGGTTCAGGGTTTCAGTCCAAGATCAGCGGGCTCCAAGGAAGGAGAGTGCAGGAAGGGTCTGGGGGAGGAGAGGGGCTCATGTCATGGTAGCCAGAAATCAGAGGGAAGGCAGAGCCAAGACCGGGGTACACCCCTCCAGGTGATTCCCCCAGTGACCTGTCGCTTCCCACAAGGCCCCATCTAGCAGCAGCACAAGCAGCTGCTGAGCTCACAGTGGAGGATTCACCATGAATATTATACCCCACGTTCCAACCACGTTCTAAACACAAGATGCCGGGGCCATTTGAGATCCAAACTATCACAGGGATTCAGTTGTAACTGAAACTTTGCCCACTGAGGAGGGTATAGTGGGTGTCAAGAATATTCCCTTCAAAAGAATATCGCAGATCTAAACCACATGATCATGGAAAGATTTTAGACAGATCAAATCCAGCAAAAATTTCCCAGCCTCGAGTCCAGTTACAAGAAATCAAGGTTGTATGTTCCACAAAATATGATGCATTCTCAACTTGTACAAAGAGAAACAGAGACAGGTAAATGAGATGGACTTTACTTACCAGAGCTCCAGATGCTGTTAATGATTTACACTACTGTGTATCCAGTATGTCAAACATGCTGAATTCTGTCTTACCCATATTGATACTTTACATAAGACTGATATGAGAACAAGTAAAACTTTTGATACTTTCAAAAGACACAATCACAAAGATGATATGTGGACCCCATTGGTTTCTTATTCACAAGTCACAAATCGAGACAGCATCTATCACAGGAAACAGGCAAGTGCTCTTGCTGGGCACAAGACCTGAATAAAAGGTGGAGAAGAGAAAAAGCCTGAGTTTGTTAGCTAACACATGGCTACTCCTGGCTCCTTTTTTGGTCAGAGCTGAAGCAGAGGCACTTCTTTGTTTTACTACTCCACACTGGAGTCTCCTGCTTCTGGAGATGTGCTCTGAGATCTGTCCCCTTAAATCTTCAGGGCTTGTTTGGAGTTTACAGCAATGCACCCCACTGTCTCCAGGAGTGGCTGAGACAGGTCCTTTTTCCTGCAGCGGTGCATGGAGGCAGCTTCTTTGCCAATCCCATGCCTTCACTGAGGATTATCTGTGTTTCCCATTTGTCACTCGGAAAGTGTAGAGTGGTATTTATGCTTTGATTCTGCAAATCTGTGATGGATGTGATGTCTGCGCACCTCCCAGGTAACTTGGCTCACATTCTGAAGATGGCCTGTTCTTTTTCTGGCCTAGGTTACTGTGGGGCACACTCAGTTCTCCACACTGGCATGCTGGAGTTGTTTTTATACACAGGATAATGTAGGTTGCCATTGTTGCACATGTTAAAATTTATCCTGTGATGTGTGAAATACTTTTTTTCATTTGAATTATGCAATCTAGGTGCATCAAGAAGTATTTAAATATTTTTAAAACTTAGCAATAAATTATTATTAATTTTTCTGTGTTTTCTTTAAAACAATATGCTTCTATCCCCTGGTCAACAGTACATTGCTGGAAATTCTTTGCAACATGGTTTTTTAATTTCACCTAGGTGAGAGGAGGAGGAAGAGGAGGAGGAGAAGGGAAGCAGGAGAAGAATCCTTTACAGGAGGAGAAAATAAGACAGACGAATTGAGTACCTCACGTCTCCATAAATGCTGAATTCTCTGGGACTTTTTCCCACCTCATGGATCCAAGACTGGAAGTGAAGAAATCTAGCCAGCGATGCTAGGATACAAAGCACAGAGCCTCATCTCTGCACTAAAGGAGAGTGGGAAGCTGGTCCAGGAGTGCAGAACTGCTCTAGAGAAAGTAGACTTTCACATGCCATGCACCCCAGCTGTTCTCTCTGGGCTGCAGGAAGCACCCCTGCTCTCCTTCCAGGACAGAGTCAGGGCAGGAGCAGCACGATCTGGGGTGCAGAGCCACACAGAAACCGCACACACTCACCGCACTTTTGGCAAAGACCTGGTCACCCTGCTGCAGCAGAGTCAGAGGCCCAGGGGAGCCAGCATCTCCTGCCACCTGGGAAAAGGTCCCCAGCATGGAGAGCTTCCTGTAATGCGGCATATGCAGGACAGAAATCTGCCCTCAGGACACACACATGTACACACACCTGCACACAGGCGTACACACATATGAGAGCACCCACACTCAGATATGCATTCCTGAAGTAGCATTTCCACCACGTTTTATTCCTTTCATTGATGTTTTTATCTCACATTTAGGCTCCAGTCCAGCTTTTACATGAATTACAGATCTGATGCAGGTCTTTGGGAAATTGCTATTGATTGCCCAGTTGAACGTGATTTTCCAGAGAAGATACTGTGATCAGCTCAGGCTTGCTGCTTTCTGTTACCTTCTTCCTTGGATGAGAACAGAAGCTCTCACACACCGGGGTCTCGATGATCTTGATGACCTTTTCCATTTCTTTGTCACGCGGTACCACTTTCCCTGCCCCACAGATGGAGCAGAGCTTCGCTGCTTCTTCCTTTTTAAAACCGCTTGCTTATGGCCTGCCCATTCCTTAGCACCAAAGCACCATTACTCTTTCTAACTTAATTCTAATTGTCATTCTTTAAAAACTACACGAGTAGCTTTTCCTTTAAGCAGTGTGCTTGACAGTCTCAGGATGTACATTAAGCTATGTAGGCCTTCTAATGATGAGACTCACACTCTATTTTCTTTACAATTTATAGAAGGAAAAATGTAGTGAACTTTTAAGATTACAGTCTGAAGTAACTTTCTCTAAAACTTTTATTTCTAAGGAGTTATTTTGCTCTGACCCACAGTATCATAGAAATTTATTCTCATATCTACTATTAAGCTGATTACCTAGAAAAACTATAATTTTTTTAATTGTTCATCTTCTTGGGATCATAGAGTCATATACAGACAGTCTATGCTGCAGTAGACAGGGTTTTACCATTTACATCTGGACCTGTGTAGGAATGTGGTACTCCATCACACAAGCATTTCCTTTTCATTTATTTATGCAAAAATCCATACAAGAACTTTCTCAAACACTTTACTAATTTATTATGAAAAAAACATGCAAAACCAAAGACAATCTCTCTCTCTCTCTCTCTCTCTCTCTCTCTTCCTATGGACTCTGAGGACTAAGAAAACATTTCAGGACTGTGCATATATGCGTAGAGAGATGAAAAGTGACAGTGGTGTGTGGAAGGGAATTCGCAGAGCAGGGAATGGCCTAATGGTCCATGTGGTCCTGTCTTACAACAAAGGTGGGTGACAGAGGACAGATGTGTCATTCAGCTCTCTGTTACAGTGACAGAGCACCTGCTGTACAAGCTAAAGTAGAAAAGGTGCATGTGGTTTATGGTTTCAGGGATTCAGTCCATGGCCTGCTGGTTCCGTTTCTGTGAGCCTGAGGGGAAACAGGAGCATGGCGGTAGAAAGCCATCAAGGAGGTAAACTGTCCACCTCATGTCATCCAGAAGGAACAAGAGAAGGAAACATGCAAAGAAGAATGAGCAGGAAGTGATATGCTTCCCAAATCACCCCTCATGGTCGGTCTCTCCATTGGGGCTAACCTCCTAAATTTCTGTGACTTCCACTAATGAAAGTCGACCTTTCTGATTTAGTATATTCCTGGTTTCTCAACACATGATGCTTTCTGTGAACATTTTTTTTTCTAGTAATATTTCAAATTTAAAGTATAACACATGCCACGTCAATGCAGGAATCAGCCCTGAAGATTGTCAGATGAGAATTCTATTAAGTCAAAATTCCAGAGGCAGGGAGATCTCTGAAGTAAAGGAATGCATTGAACTATCATAAATGCCAGTTAGACAAATTGGGCAGTTCCTGGAAAGAATTCCCTAAGCCACCAGCTGCATGACGAGGTAGGAGTTGTAAGCAGAATGCAGAACGCCTTTGGTCACCTTCCTGCGACTGGTGTGAGAGCACAGACCTACACAGAGGAATGCGGAATGGTATTTTTAATTTGTTTGACTTGATGTTCTCAGCTTAATTACTTCTCTTACTAATCTTCTCTGCTGCTCTGTCCTTACTGAATGTTTGCTTAACCCATGCTGCAGGAAGACCGGAGTCTCCTCAGTCCCTGGGTGGTAAGAGGAGCATCTGGCCTGGCCATCCTGCTCTGTGATGTTGAAGGGGTTCAGCGAGTGGCAGCTGGGCAGAGAGATGACGGGTCCCACAGGTCCTGCTGGACAGGGTGGTCAGCTGTGTCCTTCGGCTTCTACTCATGGGACATGGTGCCACAGGGGGGCTGAGAGGGACAACGTCAGGGTCTTCCACTAGGAATGAGAAAGAGAGAAAGGAGACCCCTTGGGAGCAGTTACAGTTATCCAGGCCAGGGAGAAGTTTAGGAAAACGGACTCTTAAAAATATTACACAGCCAGGTGTGGTGGTGCATACTTACTATCCAAGCACTCTGGGAGGTTGAGGCAGAAGGATCACAAGTTCAAGCTCTTAGTGACTTTTCAAGACGTGGTCTCAAAATAAAACAAACAATAAAAATGTCTGTGACTGTAACTCATTGCAAAGGCCCCGATTTGATCCCCAGCACTGAAAAAAATTAAACACAACAAACAGAACGTAATAGCCCATTTCTGTGGGCTGATATGCTTAGACAAGTATTTTTTAAAGTAAGATATTCCTTTTATTTTTTTCTCACTTCTTTTCATTCCCAGTCAGAAGCACAAATCAAAAGCAAGAAGACGAGAGACACAGGCAAAAAATAATAGGAAAATTGCACCCATGCTTGACTGCAATTACCGTCTGGAGCCTCGGAGATCACTCACTGGGGACAGACTTGACCGGCGGATTAGAAGTCAGGGTTTCAAAGATGAAAATGCTCATAATCATGTCTCCTCCTGGGAGGTTTTTGATCGCTGTGTCGCAGCTGGTTCTGCAGACAGGTGTGGAGCAGCGCTTTCAAGTGCACAGCGGCTGCAGCTCCCACGTCGGAGACCCACCCAGGAGCCTGAAAGGGAGTGGGTGGCTTGGACCTTCGCCTCCAGAAACACAGCTCACAGGGCCGCCTGATGGCCCTGGTGGCTCCCTGCAGGCCCGAGTCCTGCCTGGTCTCTCTGTGGCTTTGAGGCTGGGCAGTGGGCGTTGCTTCTCCCCCTTGGCCACTGAGCTCCTGTTTCAGTGTGTCTGCTTGGCACACCCTGGGGCGTGCACTGCACCAACAGTGAAGAGGTGGCACATTTCATTTCCCAGCACCACTAGGAGCTCGTTAGATCAGGCTCTACTTCAAGGTTTACGATGTCCTGCCGCAGGGAATGGCATTTTCCTCCTGGATGCGAATTTCAGTTTCCAGGTCTTCACTTACGGTTCTGTCGGCTTCCTTGCTGTCTGTGTACCAGTGCTGGCAGACACTCTGAAGCTGGGAGCTCCGCAGATACCCCACCCTTCCGGCACCTCTGCCTTCCCCGCCCAGCCACCTGCCAGCTATTGCTACAGGGTTGGAAAGTTATTTTACTATTCACTGATTTTGATTGATTTGTACAATGCGTGGCAGGCATAATTAGTTCATTACATGTGCCCAGAAGACGCCACTCAAATCAGGGTGACTCAGGTCTCCAACCTTCTTGTTACTTTTGCTCACAGCTGCTGAGCTCCTCTCTTGCAGTTTCCATGATGTGTACAACAGGCTACACTGACCGGTTAGGGTGACCCACTGAGTGGGCTTGAGTGTGCTGTAAATCAATGTATTCTGTTTTCAGATGGTTCTGGGCATTGGACGGGATTCTTATTTTTCCTAATTCAGCACCCTGGTGTCACCTGCAGTAATCAGGCATTTAGTGTGTCTGGATATATCAGGGCTCTGCCACTTTGAGTAGTTAAATGGTTCTTTAGACATGAACTGAAGAGGCCTCACAAACTGTTCCTTGGGCACTGCATTCCTCATGCTGGAAGAGTGCTGGGAGGTGGCTTCCGCCAGCTAATTCTGGGGCTCTTCCTGCTCTAAGGGTGGAGCAGCCCAGCCTTACTGACAGTCCTGCAGGACCCTGCTTTATGGAGCTGAGGTGACTTGGAACCGGCCCTTGGACCAGCCAGCAGCCCTGTCCTTCGGGGTCGGGGCAGACCTGGTGCAGAGTCTCCGTAGCTGTGGTGCTGGGCGTGGACAGATCCTGTGCAGTGGTCAGGAAGTGAGGCTCTGGCCTGGTTTTATTTTGCTCCTTCTCAGTGCATGACAATTCAGTAAAGTCTGATTTGTCAAGCACTCCTCAGAATATATTCATATTGATATGTAAAATGAAGAACAAGTGCATACACAACAGTCGCCTGCAGAGAACTATTGCATATTTAACTTTATTCTACAGAATGTGAAATATAATGTTCCTATGCCATGCCCATACCCACTTTTCCAAAATTGGTCTGTTTTGGCAATGTATTTTGTATTTATTATCTGTTGCAGTTTCATTTTGCATACCTTTTATTAAATAACTGGGAATCAATTCTGTATATTCTTATGACCAAAAAATACTATGCATGGCTACCCAGGTGAGGAAAGCAGGGAAGCCCCTCACCCTGGGGACACAGAGGAGCTCCCGCTCCTGTTCCAGCCCTGACTTTACTGTCCCAGCCTCCCCTCTAGGAGCTGCCCATCTGCAGCCCCAGTGGTCATGCTCCTTCACCCCACTCCTGTCACCAACATCTCACCGTTCAACTTCCGGGTCCCCAGTAAATTTCAAAAGAGAAAACATCTGAGCCCTTTATTTCAGTAAAAAGTTCAGGCTTGCTGGTCAAACACCCAGCACAGTTAACCCTCACACAGACACCACTGTCCCATATATTTAAGGAGGAAAGAAAGAGGGACAGGGAGGAAGGAAGGAGGGAGGGAGAGAAGGGAGAAAGGAAGAAAGGCAGGAAGGAAAGGTGGAGGAAAGAAGGAAGGAAGAGCAGACAAAAAAATCAAAACTAATAAAAAGAAGGCAGCTTGCTGGAGCCCAGGACCTGTTCAACAGTAAGAAAGTCTCACTATTAACCTTTCAAACCTATCGCAGTACTAAACCCAAGTTTCTGTGATCCTTAACCTGTCAACTTACTCAAATCCTCGGGCCTTTGAGACACTCCCATCACACAGTCTGTGGGTCCGTCTTCTTGCTTCTCTTTCTCTTTTCTGAACCATGGGATTTGTCCTCTGGGGTCTCATTCTCAGTGGGTTTCAGAACCTTCGCTATAGCTCCTCCAGCTGTCATCCCTGATCATCTACAGCAGAAGGTCCATCCGTCACCTGTAGTCAGGGGACTCAGAGATGCTGTCTTACTCGGTCAGGACTTCCCTGAGTTCTGCAGGCCTGTGTGGAAGGGTTATCTGGTTTACTTCAACAAAACCAAGCAATAACTCTTAATTTCAAAGTCTCCCTTGCTAACCCTAACCCTAACCTTAATCAGTCAACTGGAAATGAAATATGTCCTTTACACTCCTATGTAGTTTTGTAACTGGTAAATCAATGTACTGTGCATTTATACTTTATAGTATAAAATTTTGCAATACAGATATATCGAGTAACAGCTCAGTCAAGATACTTCTTACATTTTTTATCTGTATGAGTTCATGTTTGCAGACCATCATGATTCTTCTCATCCTGGTGAGGGGACCACGTACATGTTAATGTACATGTTAATGCCTGCGTTAACTCAGGGATTTGCCATTTTTCATCCTATTTGTAGTTTTAAGCATACAGCACACTGCTTCTTACTGAAGCCTTCTTACTGAAGGGAACTGCATGTGACAGTTCCCTTAACCCCATTCTTCCTGTGAGGCTGCAGCCTTCCATCGGCACCCTCCAGTCCCCTACTGGCCTGGCCCTCCCAGCCTGAGAATCCTCATTCAGAAACAGAGCATGGGTGAGGACTTGGTTTACAGAAAATGGACAGAAACAAGAGCAAGACCACGGGTCTACCAGCACAAGCTTTGACCCAGAAGGAAGAGGAAATGGAGAGCGCCTTTGTCTTGAAGAGGAGACAGCCTAGAAGGTTCTAATGGCCCACTAGAGAGCAAGACTAACCCACCCGGGACTGCAAGCCCAGCTAGAACCTGGTCCTCTGTTCTCTGGTCATGTTATTTTTGAGACTTCTTTCTGTTGGGACATTTCTTCTTGGTACAGATGTGGATTAGAAGTGCTCTGCCTTTAGGGGAACAGGACAGCTCCTGCCATCGCTGAGCACTTGGTCCTTGATCAGTAGTCGGGGGCTCAGGATTGACAAGGAGGACTGGGGAGACACCTTCCCCAGTGTGGAGCAAGCCAGACCTCCCTGTCCTTGGCTCTGTGAGGGTTCCTATCCCGCTTCCATTCTACTCTTAACTGTTGTCACCACAGACTGTCCGAGGGAGTCCCCCAAAGCGATAAGACTCACCCTGCCCTGCTGAGTGGACCTTGGTCCATACTGGAAGAACTTCAGGATGCATGGTGTGAAGCTCAGGCAGGCTTAGCAGGCAGAGCCTGCAGGGAGAGAGGGAAAGGACACAGCCTGAGTAACGTGGGGCTCCTTCTGAAAGAGGGGTTCAGACTGGCCAGCTTCTGGCAGTCAGTGGGGGTGGGCCAAGGGGTGGCTGCTCATCATCTTGGTTCTGGACTCACAGAGTGGGAGGAACCGCTGAGCAGCAGATCGGATTCTCTGAGATGATCGTCTCAGCTGGACACGGGCCACCTCAGTCCCCATCATGGGTCTTGCCCTTGTTTGGGGAAGGTGAGCCCACTGTGGGTTTTTTAGGAGGCTCTGGTCCTCCCGAAACCTGAAGTGACTGCAGGACTGGCGACTCCTAAGTGTCACTCCAAGGGATCTGGAATGGGATGCTGAAAATACTGGCCCCGGTGCCTTCTCCAGCCTGAGGAGCAGTGGAGCTGCTCTCATCCTGATGTCCTCAGACCTCAAGCGGGTGAGAGAGACTGGGCAAACTTAGGGCTGTGCACTTTGGAACACAGCCTCTTCCTAAGTGACCAGAGTCCTGTGTGCAAAGCTGAGCAGGGAGCTCAGCACTTTCAGGTCATAAGAGAGAAAAGAAGTTTAGTCTCTCTGTCCCCTTTCTGCCTGCCTTTACTTCTATATGACCTCAATGTGAATTCCACCTTTGTAAATTCCTCCCAGGATTGGTGGAGAATCTCTGGAATCTGCTTTTCTGTGCCACGTTTACTTAGTGTATGGTCGTGAACCCAGGTTCATGCAAATCTTCACAAATGACAGGGGCTGTATACCTCCTTGGAAAGGGATCTTACAAGATTCGCCAATGGCAATGTACTGTCTGCACACAGTTCCGAGGTAATCCTGAGGCATGCCCCACTCTGCAGCCTCAGTGATCTGGTGAAAATGAGCTGTGATTGTAACAACACCAGTACTCTGTTTTTAAAACTCACTGGCCATTTACAGCACTACTAAAAAGGATGTAAGTGACGTGTGTGCGTGGCTGCTGTGCCCTGCAGTCGGCCTGCCTTTCCACCTGCACCTGACACCAGGGTCTGATCTGCATGACATCCCTCACCCTTGGCTCTCCCAGCCTGTGTGCACGCCTTCAGCAGACTCTGCTCATAATCCGCACTCCTCTGCCCAGTGCGTACAGCTCCTGTCTCTCCTCAGCTCTGCTTCTGCCTCAGAGCTCAGGCTCTCGAGCTCTGCGGGATGACACCTGCTCTGTGCTCCTCCAGCGACGGACGCTGCTCATTGCACAGTGCTTGCAGGTGCTGGTGCCTGGTATTCACTGGCCTTCAGTTTTCAAGTTGAGTGTTTTTTTTTTTTTTTAATTTTATTTAAAAGGAAAAAGAGAAAAACAGAACAAAACAAAGTGGTGTAAGGGTACACGTAATACAGAACTACAAAAAAAAAAAAAAAAAAAGACAGTAAGAAATCACCAGTTAATAGATTACACATTATCATCTTAGAAATAGTTGCTCAAATCACAGTATCAAAGAATACAAAGTGGACATTCAAACATTGAGTCTGCAAACAGTTGTGTTCAATGATCCAACCAAAAACATTAATATAGTCAGCTATTTAACACCCCTAAACACACTTGCTGTTGTATCCTTTAGAGCTCTTTTTTTCCCTCTCTTTTTTACAACAAAATTTACACATTTTGGGTTTTATTACTCCTTAGTGTGTTTTTAAGACCCATTTTATTAGGAAATAATTTCACTGCTACAGAACCTGGGCAAATTGGAAACACTGCCAGCATTTCCTGCTGATCATTTACCAACGCTACCTGGAGTTCCCACATCTGCAGTCCTGTCCCCACGGGGCCACACCAATGTCACCAGGGACAGGACCCTGAGCCTCCACGCAGTACTCTCCACTAACCTGACGAATTCTACCAGTCAATTCTTTGTATTTTCCTCCTTCTCCTGCACA